TGCAGAGGAGAATGGAAGGAAAGAGGCAGAAACTGGTGGGTCGGGATAAGGGCAGTTTAACAGAACAGCAAACAGAGGGAAAACAGGAACAACAACGATACAAATAAGGAGAAAACACAACCACGAACCGTACAACAGCCGCTCTCCCGAAACCGGACCGGTGCTGCGCCCGCCCAAGCCGCGAGTGCCTTCCCGCCGCGCAGCCCCCCCCACCGGAACCCAGCGTGACGTCACATGGTATGGAATACCGGGCTCTGTTTGGCCAGGTGGGGTCAGCCCCCACCCCCCGGCTGTGCCCCTTTCTGGATTCCGGTGAAAATTAACCCTGTTCTGGCCAAACCCAGGACAATTGGTCATAGTACTGTTAAATTCTCAGTGCATTCTTGATGGGTACGTGTTAAGTGAGACTTGTGAAAAATGTTGGGTTGACCTGTTCAGAAAGGAGTTGAGTGCTTAAAACGGTGTAAAAGAATCATCTGCACTAGAGAGAAATGAGAATTTCTCCAATTAGGTCAAACTTTTGAAAGTGGAAGATAACAGGTAAAAGATTTTGCCCTTAGGCTTTTTAGAAGAAGTGGAAAAGGTGAGAACTGACCTAAGCTATCCCAGCCTCATTCATGTGTAATCGTGACGATGAGGCATCACCCGTGAAGAGAGCTTTTGTCTGTGTTTTCTGATCTGGGTCTTGGCTGTGTGCAGTAGCACTGTATTGGAGGTTACCAGAGCCTCCTGCTTCCCAGCAGGCTCCATTCTCATGCCTGAATAATTGCACTAGGATGGCTTAATTTGTGCAACCTGGAGGCCCACTTTCCATCTTTTATATTGAAGGCACACAGTGTACTGACTTTAAAGAGAAAAATTGCAATATGTACTTGAAGCTGTGTGCCATTGAGAGGGAAAGGTAAGATGTCAAGAGTACTGACAGGCTGTTTCTATGACAATAGTAGTTTTAAGTGCAAGCATAAAAAAGAATGAAACTACTTTGAGACTGTTACTGCAGCGAGCAAGCTGTGCATTGCCCCATGTCAGTGTTGGTTGCACAGCCACCGCTCCTGATCGGGAGAGCTGATAATACAGCTAACTGCCATGGAAAATGGAGAGTGAGGAGACTTTTCTTGTTCCTGTCCCATGCTTTCTCCTCTTCCTTCCCGCATACTGTGTTGTGCTGGCTTTATTGAGCCATTTGCTTACACCAGTAACGGTGTGCAGGGTATTTCTGTTGGAAGATCTGTTACTTCCCTGTTATGGGAAGTTGTTGTACGCGATACATGTGGTGGGTTGACCTTGGCCGGCTGCTGGCTCCCACCCAGCTGCGCTCTCGCTCTGCTCCTCAACAGGACGGAGGGGGAGAAAAGATGATGAAAAACTTTGTAGGTCAAGGTAGGGTGATCACTCACCGATGACTGCAATGGGCAAAACAACCTTGACTTGGGGAAAATTAATTTCTTGCCGATTAAAGTAACATTGGGTGGTAAGAAGACAAAGGCAGAACCTAAAACATCTCCCCCTGCGCTCTTACCATTTCCCAGGCTCAACTTCCCACCTTCATTCCCGGTTCCTCTGCCTCCTGCTTCACTGTGGCTTCCCCAGGGCCCCACCCAGAGCTGCTCTTCCTCCTCTCCTCCTCCTGCTGTGCCCTGGCTGTTGCAGGGCTGTTTCTCACACTTTCCTCGCTGCCCTGCGGGGTTTCCCCTTTCTTGGCTCTGCTTTCCTGGAGGTGCCACCAGCTTTAATGGCTGGCTGAGCTGTGGCCTCTGTGGAACCAGCCCCAACCATGTCTGGCACGGTGAGTCCCCAGCGTCTTCTCACAGAGGCTGACCCAGCAG